AAATTTTAAGGTTGGAAATGTAAGAGACTATGTCTGCTTATATTTTTTATCTATAGGTATGGACTATATTAGTGTTTGATGTTTTATACAATTGGGATATCCCATGACATGATAATGGATGAGAAAAAGAAAAAGAAAATAAATTAGTTGACAACATCTTCCACAGAATCTACTTTTATAATTTTTAAATATGTGTTGCCTTACATGAACTTGGTTGCTACCATATCAATTGCTGGTATAATTTTAGCTGTTGTAATAGTTCAGGAAGTTGTATGTTAAAATCAATGATGTTACAAACCTAGAACCACAAGCAAAAGATAGCTTTCTAGTACCACCTGGTGGCTAACTATTAATATATGCTTCAAGTTGATTGCTATGTATATCTATCTATCTATCTATCTATCCAGACAGAGAGAGAGAGAGAGAGTACAGCAAAATACCATTTTTGGTATGGACATCATTATATATGTAACACATGATAGAGCTGGAAGTAATTTTACAATACTTAAACCTCAGGTAGTGGGACAAATTCAGATAAGGCAGGACTTAATTTCTCTATAATTAATTTAATCTCAGAAAATTCAGAGCTCCCCTAGTTCTTGCTTACGTTTGCTTCTAAACTCTAGAAGAGTATGGGTTATCAAGGCATCAGGAAGTATGGGAAGTGGCTTCTGACCCTTAGTTATCAAACAATCTAGGTGACTACTAAGTCATTCATTACTTATTTCCAACTCTAGGTATGGTGTATGTCTTTGACAATTCTGGACTCCTGTTGGGCACCAGGAATTATCTACTGCTCTGTACCATGTTGATCCCCACCTGCCTAGACACACCACATCATATTCTGGCTGGGGGCTCCATTTAGGAAAGCATTTTCTAATGCTAACACAAGACCACAGACTGGCTAAGTGCTAAAGAAAAGAAGTTTCCTTGGCTCAGAGCTCTCATCCAAGGTCAAGGGGGACACATTTTGTTTTCTTGCTGATGGTCTGTGGACAATCACATGGCATGAGACAGGAATTCTCTTTCTCTCTCTCTCTTCCTCATGAAGCCATTATTATTCAATCATGGAGGCCCTACCATGATGACTTTATCTAATCCTAATCACCGCTCAAAGGCCTCATCATAGCTGATTAAGTTTCCATCCTCTTCATAGCTCACCATGAAGATTACACTTCAACATAAGTTTGGTGGGATAAACTATATTAAAACCATGGCAGCCACGCATTCTAACAAGTCATCTAGGATTTTTATTTTGTTCTCCCTTTGGGAACAGGGATCAGGATCTTTTTATTGTCATTGTTTTGTATTGTTTTGTGATACTTCGGGTTGAACTTAAGGCCTTGCACTTGCCATGCAGGCACTCTACCACTTGAGACACTCTGCTAGCTCTTTCTGTGTTGGTTATTTTGGAGATAGGGTGTCACTTTATGCTCACCGGTCTGGACTGTGATCCTCCTAGTCATGCTTTTCCCCCTCATTGGGATGACAGGCATAGGCCACCATGCCCAGACATTAGTTGGGATGGGGTCTTCTGTATTTTTTGTTCAGTCTGGCTTCGAACTATAATCCTCCCAATCTCCCAAGTAGCTAGAATTACAAACTTGAGCCAACGTACCAGACCTAGGATCCTTTTTAGTAACTCAGTGGCCTATTATGATGAGACTTCTTCCTCCCCCAACTTCTAGGAAATAGAAATCAACCCAAGACCATATTCCTTCCTTGAAATAACAGATCTGAAATGACCTAGCTAAACAAGAAAGAGGTAGAGGGGTGGCAAAATGGGAGTGGTGAGGGAGAAAAGAATGGAAAGAAATATCTGCAAGAGTAACAAAAAAATGTTGCTGATATTTTGAAGAGTATATTACTTTAGCAGTCCAATTTTATAGATGAGGAAAGAGTCAGCTGGAGTCACTTCCAGACAACCATGCCTCGGCACATTTGCAACAAGTAGCTTATAAGCATATCAAGGTGCTGATGCCCTGAGTCCTTGGATAGGAACTGAAACTGTTGAAGCCAGTTCTCCCAGCCCAGTCACTTCTGGCCAAGAGCAGCCTTATCCCTATAACACCACATTAGTCAGAATAAGTTAACAGTTTGTATAGTTATCTATTCCTATATAATAAGACAAATCAAAAAACTTACTGCCTAATGCAGTACCCATTTCATTTACTCATGTATTCTATGGGCACAAATTTGGGCTGTTTGGCGAGAAGGTCCTTTTCCTGATCTTGCTGGGGTCCTGTATGTAGTCACAGTCATCTCCCTTGGCAGCTCGTTTGAAGCTACATTTTCCAATATGGTCTCATTCACATGACTTGCTACTGGTGCTGACTAAAAGCTGGGCCCTGTCTTCAGCAGGCTAGCTAGCCTAAGCTCCTTTACTTTGTGGAAGAGTTCCTACCAGTAAGGGAGGGTAAACCCAAATGCACAAACACCTTTCAAGCATCTACTTGTGTGATATTTGCTGATGTTCCAATGGCCAAAGCAAGATAGATGGTCAAAGGACAGAGTCAGTGTGGAGGGAAGTGTACAGGATGTGAATACAGGGAAGTGTGAGCATGGGGCCATTAAAGTAACAATCTCCATATTGTTATAACAAACACCTTCAAAAATGTCAGTAGCATCCCACAACCCAGAATTATTTCTTACTCATCACAATTCCAAGTAGGTTGGTGAGGAGACTCTATCACAATTACTCACAAAACCAGAACCCTTCTACAGTGACTCTACATTGTCTAAGGACTTGAAGCAGACGAGGAAAGACAGAGAATGGAGGACTGAAGAAAGGTTTCAGAGACAAAACTTGGAAGTAGTGTATGTCAGTTCCAACTGTTACTTGGGCCAGGAGCCCAAAAGTTCTTGGTCTTATCAAAGACTTCAAGGAGTGACACAGAGGAGACATTAGCAGGAGCGAGTTTATTAATGCAAAACAAAGGGAAAGGCAGAGCAAAAGTGATTCTCAAAGCGGGAGGGCAGGCAGGCTCAAGAAGGAGCAGCTGCCCTGAGGGTCCCAAAACCTCAAGCTTTTATTGAGGTCTCCAGTCATGGAAGTGGTCATCCCAGGAAATTTGGGTTCTGTGTCATTACCTTCAAAAAACTGGGCTGTGCATCAACTCCTCCCATGTTTGGGCAAGACAGGGGGGGGTCTTTGGCCATGGATGATCAGACTTGAATTGTCATTTCCCACATGCTGTGGGGGCAGCGAGTCAGCAACACCCTGCTCTATGTGCTTCTGTTAATGGCAACTGGACATTCTTTTTTGTGACTTTCTTTTTTGGTGAGTTTTGAACTCACAGCTCTGCTCTTGCTAGGCAGGTGCTTCACCATTTGAGTCATACCCCCTAGCCTAGTTATTTTTAGCTATAATGTCTTGCTTATTGCCTGGGGTCAGCATTGGACAGGAATCCTCCTACCTAATACCTCCTGCATACCTGTGATTATAGCTGTTTGCCACTGTGCCTGGCTTGTTGCTTGAGATGGGGTTCTTGCTAACTTTTTGCCTGGGGCTGGCCTCAAACCTCTATTCTGATCTCTGCTTCCTGAGTAGCTGGGATTACAGGTGCATAGCACATACCTGGCACCAGGACATGATTTTTTTTAAATCACATTCAGGCCATTATCATTCTCAGCCATCAGGTTTCCAAATTCACTGCCCAGCCACATTCCACTCTGTCATGTGGCCCCAGGTAACTGCAAAGGGATGGAAATATCATAATGTCCAGAAGAAGAGGAGAAATACATTTATTGGTATGCATTAGTATTTTCAACATTTATTAATTTTAAATAAAAATTATAGGAGGCCATTGTTTTCAACTAAGTTCTGGTGCTAGGTTCCAACAAACAGACCAAAAGCCAAAGTAGAGTCACTCACACTAAAGTTCTATATCACCAAGTCAAAATTAAGTTATCTGACCTTCTGAGAAATAAATCAGGAGAGAGAGAGAGAGAGAGAGAGAGAAATTTTCCAAGCAGGCCAAGTTTAGTTGGTGGAACAATAAAGTTCCCTCTTCTTTAATCCTTAACAAAAATTAAAAAGCTGGGCTTTGTGGTACACACCTATAATCCCTGCATGTGGGAGGCTGAGGTAGGATTGGAAGTTCAAAACTAGCCTGGACTATATCACAAGACCCTTTTTTGTGGGGGAGGGTTTGAACTTGCAGTTGCTACACAGGCTCTCTACCACTTGAGCCATGCCTCCAGCCCTTTTTGCTATGGTCATTTTGGGATAAGGTCTTATGCCCAGGCTGGCCTGAGGAGATCCTTCTATTTACTCTTTCTCCATAGCAGGGATGACAGGTGGGCACCATCCCCCCCAGCTTACTGGTTGAGATGGGGTCTCACGGCCTTTTGCCAGGTTAGCTTTGATCTTTGATGCTCTAGATTTCAATCTCTCCGAGGCACTGGTATTAAGGCATGAACCACAGTGCCAGGCCGGGTTATATAGTCTTTTCTGCTTTGGTCAAGGAGACAATTGTTCTCTGTTGCTTACTTTCTGATTTCTTATAAAGCTTGTAATACACCTTCTAGAAATTAGAATTATCTACCCTCAAAGTTAGTTATTCCTTTTAACCATGGCCAGAATATAGGACCTATTTCTGCTTGTCCAGAACTCTTTCTAGTAGTCAAAGATATGAGGAGCTCAAGGATTATAATGAATGTTTTCTGAGGGCAGAGATGACCATTCCTAACTGTAGGTTCTAAAATACTTATCGTGTGACCATGAAACAGTGATAAGGTAAACAAGGTTCCTATTTTTAAGGAACTTATGTCCTAGTGGGAAGATTAAACAGAAAATAACAACAAAATTCATCACTTTAAAAAAAAGTGGTAAGTGATAACAGATTGATGTGAAAGTGCATGTCTGGGCAAGGGATGGGCCTACCTTAGATGATGAGGAAGAAGCATCTATGTTTAGCTCTGGGAGGAAGACTGTCTTGTGCAGAAAACAAGTGGGAATTTCCCCAGATGGGAGGGATGGTGTGTTCAATGGGTAGAAAATGAAAACAAAATCCAGTGCATTTGAGCAGTGTGAACGTGATGGAGGACGGATCACAGAGGGTCTTGAGGGTTATGGTAAAGGATTTAGGGTTTGTTTGAGTTGCATCGGAGACTGGAAAGCTTTTTGTGGGGGTGTGATCTCATTTGGTTCTTATTTTAAACTAGATCAATCTGGTTGCGCTCTGAAAATGATCATAAAAAACCAGAGTGGCAGTAGCTAGGGTGGTTGCAATTAGATTTATGTTAGTGGGATTTTACATAGGCCAGTGGGAGTTCTCACCATATTCTGTAACCCCCCCCCCATATTCCATGGAACATGGAGGGTCCCATATTCCAAGCTATCACTTTATCATTCACTTGCTTTTTGTCTGTCACTCCCATTCACGGTTGCCAGAGAAAATGCAGTTAAATCCAAATTTCAGACAAACAACGAATACATTCCCACCATGTGTTTCCCAAACGTTGCATGGGAAAGACGTAAACTAAAAAAACATCACTGGTTGTTTATCTGAAATGAAAATGAACTGATCCTCCTGCATTTTTATCTGCTCAACCTGGCAAGCTCCTCTCACTAGACCCTAAACCCCATGAGGGAGGGAAGCTTAGTCTGTTGGGGTCCCCGTGCACAGAGTTGGGGTGCACAGTGGGAGCTCGCTCTAAACGAAAAGAGAAACGTCAAAAAGCGAATGAGGGAACGGGACAATCACCTGGGTGGACGGTGAAAAACCTGTGCGGCGCTCAGCAAGACCAGGCGAGGAGCGGCGCGGTGCGGCGGACGTACTGACGTCAGAGCCGGCGGCCACGCTGACGTCATCACGCGCGCTCTCGGCCTCGCCGGAGCGTCTGTGGCGCCGGCGCCTCCTCGCTAGGCGTGGTACGTGGAGCTGTTTGGTGACGCTGTCGCGTCGGGCAGTGGCTCCCGAGACTCACGCTCCCTGTCAGCGGCTGCCAACAGCAGGCCTGGCCGCTCCTGCGCGGGGAGAGCATCTTCTCAGGGCCATGTCCAGGCCGAGCAGCGTCTCCCCGCGGCCGCCGGCTCCGGGCGGGGGTGGCGGCGCGGGTGGCGGCGGCAGTGGCGGGGCGGGCGGTGGAGGAGGGGTTGGCCCCGCTCAGTGTGGTCCTGGGGGCGGCGGCAGGGCCAAAGGGCTCAAGGACATTCGTATTGACGAGGAGGTGAAGATCGCTGTCAATATCGCTCTGGAGCGCTTCCGATACGGCGACCAGAGAGGTGAGGTTCCCGCGTGGACCCCGCCACGGGCGCCCCCCGCGGTGGGTCTGGGTGCGGGGGAGGGGCGCACCTGCTTGACCTCGGTGCAACCCGGCAGGAAGTGTCCACTGCCATGCCAGCGTGCTGTAGGTGTTGCTAAGCCCCTACCCGTAAAAATGTTTTTAAAGCAGGTGTAATTTTTCTTTTCTTTTTTCTGGCGCGGGGGGAGAGTGGGGGAGTGACAGTACTGGGGTTTGAACTTTGCGCTTGCTAGGCAGGCGCCACACCTCCAGCCCAAGCAGGTGTGATTTTACTTTACTTTGTTTTTGGCAGTCCTGGAGTTTTGAAGCAGGATCTCATGCTTGCTAGGCAGGCACTTTACCACTTGAACCACTTCACCTGCCCAATCAGCAGGTGTAATTTAAATTGGGGTACCTTTAAGTTACAAAAGTAAAAAAGCAGGAAGAAATCGAATAGATAGGTAACCTCATTTGCAGTGTCCAGTGCTTGGTTCCCATCCTGGAAGCATCAGGAGCCGAGCGCTTGGACAAATGAAACTTGCGTTGGCAAACGAAGCAGGTTCCACAGCTGAGGCTTGAAACCTATTTGCCTCGGGACACAAGACAGCAGCTGACCCATGCTGTCTGCATAGCATATTGGATGTTGTTAATAGGAGACTTCTGGCTGTGGTTACAGTGCAAAAAGGGTGATGATTTGGACACGTGGTTTTGAGTTTAGCCCAACAGAGATAAAGTCCCAGCAATGCAGATCAGCAGTTCCAGTCTCAAATAGTGAGATATGAATTCTGTGCGGTTTTGAAAACAAAGGCAGGGGAGTTTCACATTGAGAATTCATAGTGCTGCGTATACTGGTCATTGAAGGAATAAGCGTTTTGTTATTAAGCAAGTACGTTCAAATAGTAAAATATATTCATCAGACGTACCCACTCAAGAATACACAAATAAGAGTCGTCTTTGGTGAAATTAGACTACTTTATCATGTTTAGGTTTAATATGTAGTTTAAAAAATTTGTATCAGGCCAGGCACAGGTGGCTCATGTCTGTAATACTAGCTATTTGGGAGGCTGAGATCAGGAGGATCATGGTTCAAAATCCAGTCTCACCAAAAAAAATTATATATATATAAAATTATGTGCTTAAATATGGAGTTCATATTTTGTATTTGTATGTGCATTACATGAAAGAAAATTGCCCGTTCACAAATGGTATTACTTTGTTTTCTTTTCTATGTAGAAATGGAATTTCCTTCTTCTTTGACCAGTACTGAAAGAGCTTTTATTCATCGATTGAGTCAGTCTCTTGGTTTGGTCTCTAAAAGTAAAGGGTAAGCTGATACCTTTTCTTATTTTAAAAAAAAAAAAAATTTGGTTTTGCCTGTTTTTGGATACAAGGTCTGCCTCTGTGTCCCATGCTGGCCTCAAACTTGGAATCTTCCTGCCTCAGCCTCCTGAAGTCCTGGGATTACAGGCATGTACCACTGTGTGTGCCATGTTAAAGAAAGATGATTTACCAAAATAGGATAAATGTGTCTTAACTACATTTAAATAGTTTTTACTGTTTTAGCTTCACATTATAATGCATGGAGCTACACTTATTCAGGTCTGCACCAAGTTCAACTCTTTATTCCACTTACTTCCATTCCCTTAGGGGCAAAAAAAAAGTTTCCTCTAGTTTTAGGTTAGACTGATAAAAGACAAAGAGAGAAAAACAAGTTAATTAAAAGGCTCATTGTGCGTAAGCAGGAGGAACTCAGTGAAGACTAATTCAAGTTTGTATCTTATGTGGCATCTTACTAAATTTGTAAAATGGTGACAACCAAGGCAAAGGGCTTTGAGCTTGTAGGTGTGGCATACTGTGGGAAGTTGACCTGGGGTAAGCTACTAAAAGATAAGGGTTGTTTTAGCAAGGTTTGCTTTGTGGGCTCATCTGGTGCCCTTGGGTGAGTCTGGAGCTGGTCTCTGTGATTAAGAGTCATCTTGCTATTCCTGGTAAGAGGAAAGGACAGTGTTTTTTCTTGTGTCTGCTTTTTCGTATTTGTCTTCAGCTCAAAATAATTGTAATGTTAGGGTGCTATATCTTGGGGAAGCCTACTCTGAATCCCTTCAAAGTTAAATTTTAAGATGTAACAAAAAATAGTTGAAAAGTTGAAGTTGATTGAGAAAATTATTTTTGTTCTTGTTTTTGATAGAAACATTTTTTTTTGAGGATGGGATTTGTAAGACAGTAAGTATAGTTGTTTACAGAACTCATCTCTTAGTATTAGTGTAATATAATGGTAAACTTCAGAAAATGCTCATTGTTTTGTTTTCTACCAAAAATCTGATGATTAGAAATGATTAGATAAAATGAAACAAGAGAAAATAGTGTTTTTTGAAGGGTCCCTGATTCTAGGGGGAAAAAGTGATTTGAGCCGTCTAAATTGAAAAACTCTAAAATTCTGTGGAACCAGTCATATGTTGCACAATGATGCTTTGGTCAGTGACAGACCACACACAGTGGTCCTGTAAGATTTTATTGCCTAGCAATGATATAGTCATCTTAGTTTGTATAACCACATGTATGAATCTGCTTAACAGTGCTTTTTAGGACATAGCCCATTGTTAAGTAAGGCATAACTGTGTTTCATTTTAGAAATAAGTATGGTTGGATCAATGTAGAGGCAGATTACTTAGTATTGGTGCAGTTGTTGATAATATTTTGGATGGGACGATTCTTTATTGTGTGGTGCACTGTAGGATGTTTAGCAGTGTGCATAACTTTTACCCACCAGATACCACTAATAGTCTCAACCCCAGTGCGACAGCCCAAAATGCCTCTAAGTATTACCAGATGTTCCCTGGGGAGCAAAATTGGCCCAGGTTGAAAAGGGGGAAAAATATAAAATTGCAGCCTAATTGTTTTAAGGTTAAAGAGAGGGTAAATAAAACAGTATTAAGTAAATATATATGCTAATAAAAATGTAGTAGGGCTATGAGGTGGCTGCTACAGGAATGCTTTCCATATGAATGCTTACATTATTGACTGACACTGGAACTTTAGTTTTGGTTAGTGTGCATTTTGAACTTTACAAAGGCCAGTCCTAAAACTGTTGTTAGGTTCCTAAGCATGTGCATGTTATATATAGTGTATTATGTGGGTAAAATGCTGCACTTGAAAATGAAAGTATACAGCCATAATCCTTTATCCCAAAACACCTGGGCCGAACATGTTTTGAGATTCAGAGCTTTCAGAGATTAGTATTGGGGTGCATTTGTGTGTGTTATACAGTACTCCTAATACGCTATCACTTTTAGTCACGTTAATATTTCTACTGGAATTCACACCAAAATAAAATCTTAATAACCTCATGTTAGTGTAATCAGGCCTTTTGCCAAATAGGATTGCTGCAAACTTTATACAACTTCCAGTTTTCAGAGCTGTTTGGGTTAAAGAGTTGGAGATAGGAGGTTTGGGGCCCGCACTGGAAAATACCTGTTATAAATGCACAGTTCTATTAGCTGCATCATTTCTATGGCTAACTGGGTCTTAAGTTCTAAACTGCACTGTTTTTGATGGTCAGAAATTACTGGTAGAAAAGCAGTCCATTAGAATAGACCAATGGACTAGAGATCAGTAGCATGATCTTTAAAAGATGATCCAGAATAGAGAAACACCTAGGAAAGGAAGGAGCAAGAAAAAAGCCATCAGGCCCAAAAATGGGGAATGAGGGACCTTTTTTAACTTGAGACAGGGTCTTACTGTATAGTCCAGGCTGATCCTAAAAACTGTCATCCTTTTACCTCAGCCTCCTGATTACTGGAATTACAGGTATGTACCACCACATTTGCCTTATATTACATTACTTATTTGCAGCGCTGGGAATTAAACCCAGCACTTCAACCATGCTAGGTAAGCACTGTACCACTAAGCCACATTCCAGCCCTAGGAATGAGTTGACATTGAAGAGCCTGAGAAAGAGAGGAGAAAGGAAAATGCTGCCTCAGGAAATAAGGCCAGGCTGCCTGCTTGTCCTCTTCTTATCCTTTCCTAATAGCTCCAAGCCTTAAGACTCCTTCCCTTTCACTGTCTTTGAGCCAAGTTTGTAGTGCTTATCTGGTGGTCCTGGTGATTTTTCAAATGCTTTGTTTTCTTTTTACAGAGATCTAAGTCACTTTAAATTGACTTCTCAAATCCTTTTCATTTATATGAGAATTTGTACCTGATGCATATTTCATGGGACTTTCTCTTCATTCTTTGGCAAAGATTTTTTTTTAAATCTCCTAGAATTAGTTTCTTGGTTTTTTGTTTGTTTGTTTTAGCATTAGTTTCTTGTTTTAACAAGTTTCCTTTTCTATTTTTTGTTTTTGTGCCTGGGATTACTATAGTTGAGAGGCAACCTGGTGTGAAGTAAAAAGTAGGAAACTTGGTTTCTTTTGGAGTCTCATTGTTTCGTCCTTCACATTTGGTCAGTCCCTTCACTTTGAAGGACTGTCTCTAGAGCTGGGGATGTAGGGATGTAGCTCAGTGGTAGAGAGCGTGCCTAGAATGTGAAAGGCCCTGGATTCAGTTCCCAGTAAACCCCTACCCCCCCCCCACCAGAAAACAAAAAACCTTGTTCTTGACATTGTGGTTAAGAAACAGTCTCGTTGTAGTTAAGATTCTATAGCATTCACAGGTTTCTTTTTTTCCTGGTCTATTTTTCCTTTTTGATAGTCTTTCTTTCAAAATGAAGTGTGATAATTTTTTTTTAATCTAAAAAGTTGAATTTACTTTGGTCTTGATTTTTGTTGTTGTTGTTGTTGACACTGGTGTTTGAACTCAGAGTTTTGCACTTACTTGCTAGGTAAGTGCTCTACTAATTGAGTCATACCTCTAGCCCTTTTTGCTTTACTTGTTTTTCAGATAGGGTCTCTCGTTTTTGCTTGGGGCCAGCCTTGGACCACTGTCCTCCTACTTATGCCATTTGTGTAGGTGAGATTACAAGTGTGTGCTATGCGTGCACCCCCATGACCTTTTTTTTTTTTTATTGACATGGGATCTTGCTAACTTTTTGCCTTTGCTGACCCTGAGCTGGGATTCTCCCGATCCTTGCTTCTCAAGTAGCTGTGATTTAAAGGTGTGAGCTACTACACCTATCCTGATTTTGATTACTTTTTATAACTGCTCATCTTTTAGTGAAAATACTCTTCTTGGAGTAATCTCTTTGTTTTGTAATCTTTTGTACATCCTGAAGATTTTTTTTTTTAATTCTAGTCAGGTTTTACACTCAAAATGTCACATCATAATTTGTGTACTTTTTTCCAGTTAAGGTCACTGTGTTTTATTCATAAGCATACAGTTTTCTGACTCTGGCTTGTTTGTAACCAAAACAAAAGCCTTCTCATTTTTTTTCAGTCTAAGTTAGACAAAATGGAATTTACAGACTGAAATTTGTTAGAAACTTATGAAATTAGAAAATACAGAACGTAGAAAAATAGGTTTTCCAATTACATGTTTCACATCCCATGATGCTAAGGTCAATGCTTAATAGGTACTGAAGTACTCTACTTACCCTGCCGCACAAGGACGCCCCTCTCCCCCTTGTACCGTACTGGGGTTTGAACTCAGGGCCTTGCAGTTGGTAGGCAGGTACTCTGCTACTTCCACCTGGCTTTTTAGATTGGGGTTCCTGCTTCCCTTGCCTCCTGCTTTGAAGCCTGTATGCTGCATTCTCTCTCTCCTTCTCCAGGTGAAATAGGAAAATTAAATTTAAAGTAACAAACTTCAGTGAACTGTTGTGTCCAGTGATGATTACAGCAGCTAACACTTTAGCACTCTTACGCAGCAGGCACTGTGCTTAGTGTTTAGATGGATTATCATTTAATCTTCACAACAGTTTTTAACAATTGGAACCCAGAGGCAATTAAAGTTTCCCTGTCACACAGTTGACAAATTGGCAAAGTCAGGATTTGAGCACAGTTAATGTTTAGCTGGTAAAAAAAAACCTTTTTTTTTGAGATAGGGTCTCACTATGTAGCCCAGGCTGGTGTTGAGATTCGCCCACCTCACTGCTGGGACTACAGGTGTTACACTACCATGCTTGGCTGTAGCTAGTTAACATTTTCCCTGTGAGTTTATAATGGTGTACTTGGTGCTGTGAAGAGTTAGAAGGAAAATATGACAGATCTCATCTTCAACTTACTTAAACTTCATTAAGATACACAAAGAACAAATTTAGCATAAACTAATGACTGTTACATGAAAGCAGCATGTTCATTTTCATGACAAAATAAAGTTAATTGGTTTATTAGTTTCTAAGTCATAAAAAAGTACTCATTAATATGACACAGACTTTAATTCTGCAATACTGGGGAGGAAATGTTTCAGAACTAGCCCTTTGCACACGTCTGCCTGATGCAAGCACAAGTTATAGGGATATGAGTAAGTACTTAGAAGATAGCAAATGGGTACCTAATAATTTTCACTAATTCACTCACTCCTTGGTGGCTGTCAGCTTTTTAGTAGTTATTTCCAGTTTGGTTCTTGAGGTGATCTTTTAAATTGGTCTCAGATTTGAAAAATAGGGCAAGTAGAGGCACAGGGATATGTTTGACAAAAGTGTCCAGTAACATGCTCAGTAAATTGATAAATTGATTAGTATTCAAATTATATGAAATTTGAATAGTTATATCATCATTTTTCCTTTTTGGGGCAGAGGGTACTAGGGATTGAACCCAGGGCTTCATGCACCCTGGGCTCCGTGCTTTACCTCTGAGTGACATCTCCAGCCTCATCATTGTTCTTTAAAAGGAAGAAGTCATTGAATTGCCAGAACTTTACTTTTACCATTTGAAAGCCAGAAGTTATGATATTCTTATTTGTAATTTTATTACATTTAGTTAATTTTTCTTTTAATTAGAAAATAATAATTGTGTATATTTATGGAGTGTGATGTGATACTTTGAAGCACACATTATGGAAATCGTGGTAATTAGTGCATTCATCACCTCAAATTTTATTTCTTTGTGGTGTAAACATTTAAAATCTTCTTGTAGCTGCTTGGAAATGTACAATATCTTAAACTGAGTGTGGTGACACATGTCTATAATCCTAGCATTTGGGAGACTGAGGCAAAAGGATCAATGAGTTTGGAACTAGCCTTCTTGTGAAGTTCATCTATCCAGAATCTTTTCTATATGGGCAGCTAGTTTGTAGCTAATTTTGCTTTGGAAAGAGGACTTTGTATATTTTTTCCTCGAAGCATAATGTCAGTTACCTTTAATGAATACATGATGAGGAAATTTCAGTGGTTTAGTTTACATAGTTATACACATTTCAACTTAGTATTTTCGTTCCCATAACAATGACGTAAATAGTTTATGAATCTTTTTATGCTACATCATTGCAACTGAAGGCAGCCCATGCTAGGAAGGTTTTAGTTTGATCCATTATTTTGGTTGTGGTGTTACGAGGAAAGAGTGTATTTTATTCACTTTTATAATTTCATCTCCTGCTATAATGCTGGTATAGATAGTAAGTGCTCAATTAAAACATGCTGAATAATTGAATAAATGAATAAAACAAAATTAAAGGTGAAACATAGCAAAACCTTCCCTGAGATACTTTTAAGAAAATAGAAACATGTTGAACTCATACATTAACTAGGTTTATTAACTAGTATTCAGCAAATGTTTGAGAGTTAGAATGATTTATTTTTGACGATAAAACTAGTACGCTGAAAGGTTATTATTAGGTGAACACTAGTCTCCTGACTTATGCTCTAATGCTTATTTCAGTGTACTTGCTACCTTCTGTAGTTAAACTTTTATGAACGGCACAGAGGGAATGATAATTGACTTTGCAACAACTATCCTGAAGTTTTAGAGGGATCCATGGGAAAAGCACCTTAGAGAACATCTGTAGAATTCAGTAATTCTGCTTTAGTATGGAAGTAACTAAAATATGTAGATCAGGTTAAAATTTAACTTATTTAAAGTATCACTAAGTACTTAAGGAGTAGATGACTACATAGAAAGCTTGCAATGCATTGAAGTATGCAGTAAAGAATACCGGAAATTAAAAAGCTTGGTAAAATGAAAGCCTCACCTAGAAGACTTATTGGCTAAAACTGTGTAGGTTAATCAGTTTAGTATTCTTAGAGTGAAGATATTGTAGACAAAATTTAATTCTAATGAAAATCAGGGAAATTATAAAATACATGTAATTTTCATTATACTTGTGGTTGTGCTGCTCATTTCTATAATATGGTAGTGACATTAACAAATAGTAAAAATTTTGTGAAATATTTTGAGTAACTTTTTTAATTTAAGAAATGATACTGTTTCCTGACTCTAATTATAATAGCTTTTATTAACTTAGAACCCACTCTGTAACAAATGCAGTAGTCTCTAATCTTAATTATTTGAATAGTTCTTTGAAGTAGGTATTATAGTTGCTATTGTTATCTTAGGTTCAGAGCTATTAAATAATTTGCTTGTGGTCCCACAGCTAGTAAATGGTAGAGCTGGGTTTCATACCTAGGTCTGTGTGCCTTGAGAGCCTGAGCTCTTAACCAGTACTACACTTCTAGTCTACAGGCATGTATTATTAAATCATTCACATTTGGGAACTTCCTGTGTGTATAACATGTTACCTAATACTTTGGAGCTCTAGAAGTAAAAAAGACATTATTAGTTCTTTGGTAGTTGAGGAAACAAATAGACCTCCTTCAGGTAACTTACTTGAAAACAGTTATAGATCATTACCTTACAATTGAAGGGCAGAGCCAGAAGCTTTGAAAAATTTCTTTCATTTAAAAAAATATGTACTTGAAGTAGTGATCAGTTATTCTGTTACGCATTTTGGTCCAACCACTGAAATTGGCTCTCTTAACAGGTTTTCATGGGAGTGTGACATTGCCAGCCTGCTGTGGAAGCATTCAGTGGGACATACCCATCTGAACAGTCAACTATTACTTTTTCATTATCATTTTTAGATGCTTTTGTTCAGATTTTTTTCTCCTTCTGTATGCTTCCCAGCATGTGTTAACTGGTGATGTTTCATCCACCATGAAGTCTGCTAAAGAGAAACTAACACTGTGGGTAAGTAAGCCTTTTTTTGCAGCATTTTGAAATTTTAATCGAAAACAATCTAGGGCCACTTGAACCCAAAATATTTCTTTACTGAAATTTTTAGGAGTTTTAGCATTTTATCCCAAAGTATTTGATTTTTTTTCATTGTTTTGCTTGAGACATATTTTCTAAGTAGGCATACTTCAATATGTGAACAAGTTGACTATATGTAGTAAATAAATGATTTTTATTAATATTCAGAAAGGGAGCAAATAGATACCTAACTGTGAAGAAGAAAGATGGATCAGAAACAGCTCATGCAATGATGACCTGTAATTTGACTCATAACACAAAACATGCTGTTAGGAGCCTTATTCAGAGATTTCCTGTCACCAATAAAGAGCGTACTGAACTTCTGCCTAAAACAGAAAGAGGAAATGTGTTTGCAGTTGAAGCTGGTATGTATTTTCTGGGAGCTTCCTTGTTTACCCTGTGATTTGATGACTGTTCACTTCCATTTCAGATTTATTTAAAAGACTAATTGAAATAAGTTTTCTCAGTGTTTGTAGCATGTTAGAAATGATCAAGTTGTGAAAAATTTGGAACAAAATGCAATGTTAAGGCATGTCATAGAGTTGAACAAAGCGTTTTGTTTTTTAAAGTGTTATAACGATACTATTGAGCGTTTTTTGTATGCTAGGCCGTATACTAACCCTTTACGTAGAGCCTCATAGCTACCTTTGCAAGCTAAGAATTTCCCCTATTTCAAAGATGAAGAAACGGTAGCTCAGAGGAGTGAAATAATTTAAGGTCCCTCAACTAGCCAGTATAGAGCTGGGATTTGACTCCAAAGACTGGGCTTTCATAGAAAAGCCCTATGTATTCATAGGACAGCCTATATACTACAGTGGCATAGTCACTAATGAGAGATTTTTGAATTGGGACTTGTCCTGCTGAGGGATGGGGCAGAATCTTTAGTCCATTAAATTGCTCAAAGGTAGATAAGTAATGTGTTTATTGCAAAATGAAGTTGTTATTTGGAAAAATAACTTCTAAAGTGAGAAAATTGTTTTTTATTGCCTATATTTACAGAATCTACATGATTATACCTGTAGGAGCAGGTTCACATCATATAGAAAATATATGGTCCTACATATCAAAGGGATGTTTGTTTTGTGATGCTGAGAATTGAACCCATGGCCTCTGTATGCTAGGCCAGTGTTCTTCTGCTGAGCTGTATGCCCAGCCCTGAAGAACTTGTTTTAAATACAGGCACACAAACATTTTAGCTACGTGGAGATTGTAAAACATGCCTTCTTCCTGCTTGCTTAGCTAAAAATGGATATTTGCTAAAATTCTCAAGTAGGAAATTTGTTAAACATTAGGACCTTGTATTTACACACATTATTTAATCATACATGAATGATGAGAAAACTCCTTTCCCTTCTTGTAATGTGTTTTTATATTAACATGTAACATGTCTTACAAGTATAATGCACATTGTTTGCTACTATAAAATTTTAATTTTCTGTGACAGTAGTGATAGAAACTTATAGCAAACCTGAAAATAAATTAGGTTAACAAAACTGTGCTTTGTTTCTAATGGTTATCCAACTGATTAATTTTGATTCATTTTCATACATTATGCATCAGAAGTACTTTTGAAAGAAGTACTTTTTTGAAAGTACTTTGTAATTGTGCTGACATCTGTAACATGCTCTATGTGAATAGTAAGGGTGGGAGTAAAGCTGAGGCATTGCTAGCTAACTTTGTGTAGATTACAGATGAAACACTTGAGGAATTACATAACAATTACTTATCTTTATTTTTAATACTTTTTCAGTTGATCATTAATTTTTTGTTCTTTTGTTCATTTTTAAAGAAAACCGAGAAATGAGCAAGACAAGTGGGCGACTCAACAATGGCATCCCTCAAGTCCCAGTGAAAAGAGGAGAGTCTGAATTTGACTCCTTCAGGCAGTCCTTGCCAGTGTTTGAGAAACAAGAAGAAATTGTTAAAATAATTAAGGAAAATAAAGTAGTTTTGATTGTAGGAGAAACTGGGTCTGGAAAGACCACACAGGTTTGTTTCTCCTTTGTTGTTTATAGAAAAAAATATTTATCCCATGCTGTAGTTTGTTTGGTTTTTTTTTTTGGTGGTACTGGGGTTTGAACTTAGGGCGTGGTACTTGCTAAAGCAAGTGCTCTATTACTTGAGACACTCTGCCAGCTCTCCCATGCTATAGTTTTATGTCAAATATATCCTACATGTGTTTAAAAACAGCAACTTGTGGTTATTATTCTAAACAGACATAATTATTACTGGGAGTATTCTTTTTTTTTGAGAATATATAGGAAGGAAATGTTTTTAAATTATTTATTTTAATAAAACAAAGGTGAGGATGCAATTTGGTGTCATGGGAGGAACTTGGGATTTGGCCTGGATTCAAATTCCAGTTTTATCACTTAATTGGGTGTGAAGTTTTAGGTTAGTTTTTAACTTCTGTGAGCCAGAGTTCATTTATAAAATGGGACTAATAATTATTATCTTTTGGGTAAGGCTTAGAGATAATCTCTATAAAGTGATTCATAGTGCTACAGTTGACATCTAATGGTCAAATTTGCTCATACTGCAACCATTATTATTAAAACTTTTACTAAAGTCTCTGATGAAATAAAACAGAATGTAAAGTAATGTCATTAGCCGGTTTCATCTTGTCTTTCTTTCATGGTATTAGGAAGTTAAGGGCCTTTTGGACTTACGTTCATGGCGTAAAACACATTTGTGAGAAATACTTTATAGGCAGTGAAAGAATCGTGATTCTTCTGCTACCCTGTCTTCATTATTGTCAGTGAAACTTGGAATACGTTTCTGTGTTTTTTTGGGGGAGGGAGGGTGTTTATGTGTTTTGTTTTTGTTCTTTTTACAGCATATATATGTGTATCTATCTATCTGTCAACTTGTATACTGTATATATTTATCTCTATATCAATATATATACTGTATATATTCATATAAATATATATATAGATTATATAAATAAAACATAACATATGTTTTAAAAAACAAACACATTCCACCTGGGCGTGGTGGCTCAATGCCTATACTTGGGAGGCAGAGATTGCAAGAATTTTCATTGTAGGCCAGCCCAGACAAAAAAGGTTGAGACCCATTTCAGCCAATGGCTGGGCACAGTTGTGGTGCACCTGTCATCCCAGCTACATTGGGAAGCACAAATAGGATCCTGGTCCAGGCTGACCTGTGCATAAAGCAAGACCCTGTCTCAGAAATAACCAATGCAGGAAGGCTGGCAGAGTGGCTCAAGTGGTAGACCACATGCCTAGCTAGTGCAAGCCCAGAGTTCAACCCTCAATACCACCAAAAAGAAAAAAACCCTTCATAGCATCGATAATGTATTTTAAAAAACAAACAAGGGATAATGATGTGCATACATTTTTGTGTCTTTTGTCACTTGAAAAATTGGATATTTTTCGTGTAAGTATTTAGAGATAAATCATTTAAAAATAACTGCATAGTGTTACTGAACATTTTTATAATAAAAAGTGACAGTTTACTGTGTGCTGAGTTTTTTTGCAAGGATTATCTTGTTTTAGTCTCTTTGTAAACTGAAGTAGATTTTTATTATCTCTTTTTATAGGTAAGGAATAAAAACTAAAACTTATAGATGTTAGTCTGTGCTGGTTAATGGAAGTAGCCCTTGTTAACCTAAGTAGGAAGTGGCACAACAGGAATTTTATTCTTACCTTGTTTTCCAATACTTCTTTTTTTGGGAGTTTCAATAGGATAAGTTCTTAGAAGTGTAAATGCCAGACTAAAGATATTGCAGTTAAAAATTTAGTAGATTACTAGTTAATGTATGAAAATGAGTTAATATACTGAAGCACTATTAAAAGTATTGGAAGTTCCTGTTTCTCAGAAGCTTGGGCCAGAATGGCTACACACGCGTGTGGTTTTTGTGTACACGTGATTTGTATATGTTTTAGTATGTTTTACCTTTCTCAATCTGATGAACAAAAAAATGTTTTAATTTGCACTGATTTGATTTTTTAGGGAGTTGAATATCTTCATTTACCTGTTACCTGTTTATCTTCTGTGGGCTTCTTTTTCTTTTTTTTTTTTTCTGAGTCAGGATTTTGCTTTGTAGTCCATGCTGGCCTAGAACTTACTATGTAATCCATGCTGGTTTCAAAGTCATGATCCTCAGCCTCAGCCTCCTTAGTGCTGGAATTACAGGAGTGAGCTGCCGTGTCTGACTTGTGAATTTCTTATTTCCCATTTTCTTTTTGGCTCATTTTGAATTTAGTTTTGAGAGTGCTTTATAAATGTTATGGATATGTGCCTACTGTCTGTTAAACATCTTAAAAATAATTTCTAATTTTTTGGTTTTAGCTTTGCTAATTATACCTTGTTGTTTTGCACTAAATGCTGAGTCAGATTTTTTTGGGGTGGGGGGGTAGGGTTGGGGTTGGATCACACCAAGGAAGGCATTTCCTACCTCAAAACTAAAAAAACAACAAAACAGTTTCTTATAAATATTTTATTTTAACTTTTTATTTAAAAAGTTCTTTATGAATTTCATTATATCCTATCAGGTAGATGTCTCTGTTTTTCTTTATGTCAATATTTAGTTGTGCAAATACAACTTTTACTTGATAATCTCTCCTTACCACTTGATTTAACATGCCGTTTTTGATCAAATAATAAGTTTTTATAGTACCTAGGTCTATTTCTGAGTTTTTGCTTTGTTTCTTTAATCCCATCATCTCTTCCTGCACCCAGATCCTGTGTTTTGCTTTTTGTAGTTTACAGTATACAGCATAATATTCTTCATTACTGTAAGCATATTATAGTTGTATCATGGGTATGTATTTTGACATTTATGTAAGTGCTTACAAGATATCTTAATCACCCCTCCATCTTTGTTCTTATCTCCTACTTGTTTCAAGTTCCGGTTACGTCAATTAAGAAAAAGGAAATTAAGTTTTTATTTTTACCTTCACTTACTCCTTTGATGTTCTTCATTTCTTTATAAAGATCTGAGTTCCTGGCCTATATTATTTTCCTTTTCTTTAAAACTTTTTTTTAAAAACATTTTTTGCAATGCATATTTACTGTCAACAAATATCTTCAGTTTTTGTTCATTTGAGAAAGTCTTTACTCCGCTTTTGAAGGATAATTTTGCAAGATACAGAACTCTAAGTTGGTGGACTTTTCTCCCCTCTCAATATTTTACTTCCCTCTATTCTTTTCTTACTTGCATGGTTTCTGAGAAGTCAGAGGTAGTTTTTTTTTTTATCTTTGCTCTTCATATGTAAGGTGTTTTTCATATGTAAGGTGTTTGGTGCTTTGTCTTTCAGGATTTTTTTTCTTTATCTTTGAATTTCTATAGATTGAAAATGATACACATACCTTTTAAAATATTTCTTTGTAGTTTTTAATGTATTTATGCTTCTAGATGAACTAACAGTTAAGACATTATGAAAAGATGTTCATTTCACTACAGTTGAAGGCGAAAGCCAAAATAACTATGTTTAACAATCAGATTGGTTATTTTAACACATGTAATTTAAGAAATGACAACATGTGGGATGTTTTTAAAAGACTTATCTGAGCTTCTCTAAATAAACTTTTATTGTGGAAAAAAATTTGATGATACCTTGTATTGATGTGGGTGTTGGAAAACAGCCCTTCTGTTTTGTTGGTAGTATTGGTTCGGAGCACAATTTGATAATTTTTTCTATCTAGAAGTGGATATACTCTGGACATTTTTACTGCCTGCTAGTGATTTATAATTTGTATATCTTTGCAAAAATACATGAAGATGGAGTTCACTGCAGCACTGTTTTTTAATAGCAAGCATCAACATGAGTAACCACCTGAAAAAAGGAAATTGTGCCGTGTTTGGAGTAGGTAGAGGTGATGTTAAATGAAAACTGAAAATTATGACCATTAAGTACACTAACAGTGAATAAAAAGCCTGTTTATATACATTTTCTGAATTTTGAATTGTTTTTCTTGAAAGCGTTCATAAGAAACTTAAAAATAGATAATCTTACGGTGAACAGGTGTTGGTGGTAAGGGTGGATGAGACTTTGAACTTTAAGTTTTTATGACCTGCTTGAATTTTATTTATAGACAGTTGTAGTCCTGGAATTATAGGCTATTTTTGTTATCTTTATGCTTTAAACTATTTTAAAAATCACAGGCTAGGAATGGTGGCACATGCCTGTGATCTCAACTACTTGGGAGGCAGAGCTAGGAGGATTGCATTCTAAGGCCTGCCCTTGGCAAATACATGAGACCATAATCTAAAGAATAAAGCAAAAAAGGGCTGGGGGTATGACTCAACTGGTAGAGGTATAAGGCAACAGGTTTAAACCCTAGTTCTTCCAAAAAAAAATTACTGTGGAATTTTGTCATTTCATTGTCTATAGAATAATTTGGGGAAGAGTTAATGATTTCACAGTAGTGATTATTCCGGGAATATATTTCTTTATATATTCAGGTTTTTCGTGGTTATCAGCAGTATTTGATTGCTTTCTTGTCTTAAATATTTTTGGTAAGTTTGGTTTTGAATAGTTTTAGTTTTCGTTGTGAACGAGATCTTTTAAAATTACATTTTCTAGCTGATTATTACCATTTACATGAAAGTTGTCCATCTTCTGGTTGTTTTATATTTGGACATGTTACAGAACTTTTATGTTTTATGCTTTTTCAGTTGATTCATTTGAGTTTTTCTGGATATGCAAAAATGGCGTGGCATTTCATAGTATTTCAAAACTTCTGTTTCAGATTCCTCAGTTCCTTTTAGATGATTGCTTTAAAAATGGTATCCCCTGTCGTATATTTTGTACTCAACCAAGACGACTAGCAGCTATTGCTGTGGCTGAACGAGTTGCTGCAGAGAGAAGGGAAAGGATTGGTCAAACAATTGGTTATCAGATCCGATTGGAAAGCAGGTAAAGACAGTCCTATCTTTTCTCATGCTTAGAAAAGACTAAATGAATACATTTCACTAAAGTAGTGGATGTGTTAGTTGAAAAGTTAAATGATCATTTTGTGTTAAGTGTATCTGGATGTTGATGTCATGCCTTACACTTACTGAGCTTTTGGATAAATAATTTGAAAATCAGTTTGGACCGGATACTCAAATTCCTTTTCATAGTTTCGTGATCAAGTGCAAGTAACTTCACCTTGCCAAGCCTCAGTTTCCTCTGTAAAATGAAGATAATAAAGCATGTAGGGCACAGGTTTGATGTGCACTTTATGGTAAGAACTCAATAAATGTTAGAGACTGAGTTTTAATGTCATTAGTACAGGTCGAGTGTCCTATGTCAGAAATGCTTAGGACAGAAGTGTATCAGATTTTGGAGGTTTTTTAGATGTTGGGATATTTGTATACACTTTACTGGTTGAGCATCCATAATTTGAAATGCTCTGAAATTGGAAACTTACGAACACTCTGGACTTTAGATTTTTGAATTACAAGTGCACAACTTCTAGTAGGCCTAGTTACACCTTGATGAATACTACTGTTTGTTTTTTAGTGACTCAAAAAGTTGATTGCATTTATGATGTGTTTTTCCCCCCCCAAGGAGAAAGTGGTAAGGTTGCTTTTAAGCCTATTTAAGTTCTTTAACAAAATGTGGTATCTAGCTAATAAAAAGCTATTAGTAAGAACGAATTTGTGAGATTGCCTTGCATAAAATGGGTTATTTCATAGAACTTTGCTAACAAGCCATATGTACCGTACACTATCATATTAATAATATTTGTTACAGTATGTATATGACCAGAGTTGAAGGTGATTGTTTTAATTACATAAAAGATTTGTAATTGTGCACTTTATTTTGATTTTTTAAAAAGGGTTTCTCCAAAGACACTTCTGACATTTTGCACTAATGGGGTGCTACTTCGAACGTTGATGGCAGGTGATAGTACATTGTCAACAGTGACACATGTTATTGTGGTAAGAACATCATTGAGTTGGCCATGCATTACCCCAATTGTTTAATGTTTAAATACATACTTACATTTTTAGGATAGGGTAAAAATAAGAACTTACAAGCTATTGTGATCAAGTTATTTTTTGCCTAATTGATACAATTAAGAAAATTGACTAATTTAGAAATAAGTATTTTGTTTTAAGTAAAGGTATTCTTATCCTCCTGTCTTATGGGGAAAAATAAAACAGGTAGTTTTTTAAAATGTGCTGTTCATATGTGAAAATGATGGCACACTTAGCATTCTCCAGAACCAGTAAGTTCTTTTCCATCTCTGAACTTTGTCACCTGGTCCCTCCTTTAGTGTTATGCATTTCTTAGTTGTAAGGGTGTACCTTATAGTCATTTTACTTCATGGTGAAAATGCTAAATTAACCTGCTGATGAAGTAAGAATTATCCTCTTATTAAAACAGTTCTAAGCATTTATCCAGTTTGTATCAGAAAACAATTAGATTAAATTATATAAGCTTTTACTGAGCAGCTTTTGGAAATTTACCTAAACCAAAGGAAGCATGCTTTTTTTTTTTTTTTTTTTTTTAATGATGAGTGTCTTGCTATGATGCCTGCAATGGCCTTGAACTTGTGGTCTTCCTGCCCTCAGCCTCCTCTGAGTATCTGGGATTATGGGCATGCACTACTGTGCCCAGCCAGAAGCATAATTAAGTTGATTTTGTTTATATTAAAACTGTATTAGACTCTACTAGTTTGTATAAGTCCAGCAATGTCATTATTTTAAAGATTTAGTCATCTGTAACTTTTTGACTGTGTATGGTTTTGTTTGTTTGCTGCAGGATGAAGTGCATGAAAGGGATCGATTTAGTGATTTTTTACTTACAAAGTTAAGAGATTTGTTGCAAAAGCACCCGACTTTGAAACTTATTCTTTCTAGTGCTGCCTTGGATGTAAATCTCTTCATAAGATACTTTGGAAGCTGTCCAGTGATACATAGTGAGTAGAATTACCAGATTTCTTTTGTAATTTTTATGAAAAATAACTTCTGGGTGTGATTATATTTTTTTCTAACACAAATTGGGGAATATTTTGAAGTAGAGTGCATCTGTTTTTGTTCCTTCTGAGTAGACTTTATAGTTACTTCTCTGTTTTTGACCTGTTGTTCTCTATCTATAGCTCTTTGTTGTTGTATAGTAAAACAGTTCTCTAATCTTAAAAAAAATGCTGTGTTTATTTATTTATTTATTTATTTATTTTATGGTACAGGGTTTGAACCCAGAGCTTTTGTGCTTGCTAGGTAGGCACTCTACTGTTTGAGCCATGCCTCCATCCATTTTTGCTCTGGTTACTTTGGAGCTATGCGCTTGCTTTCTGCCCAGGCTGGCCTGGGCCACGATCCTCCTATTTTATTCCTCCTACTGTAGCTGGGATGACAGGCCTGCCCCACTATGCTCAGCTTTTTCTATTCAGATGGAGTCTTACAAACTTTTTGCCCAGTGTGGCCTTGAACCATGATCCTCATCTCAGTCTCCCAAGTAGCTAGAATTACAGGCATGAGTCACTGTTACCTGCACATATGCATTATTTTGACCCTGGATTCCCCTTTAAATTCTGTCCTATGGTTTCTTTCCTTTATCATTGGATCCTTGGAAAAGTAGGCTGCATTGCCATGCTAACTTCTCTTTCACTTCTCAGTACTTTGACATTAACTTTTGCTCTTGTTCTTTAACAAAATCTGGTTTTGCTCCCATTCCTTAAAAAAATGATAAATTCCTCCTTAAAAATTACAAAGGTTGTAGGTATTTATTTCAATGAAATAATATAAAGATTATATAAAGATTATGAACTAAAAAAAGTTCATAGTTGTGTCTGTCCTCTTTTGGCTCTATGTCTTACTTTGCTGCTAGTATGGATTTTAAAGCACTGTGTATATCCTTTCTCAGTTGACCTGATTCTACAGACGTGCAAATATATGTATATACAAGGTTTACAAAAATGAGCACTTACTTGAAGTTTGCCTTATTTATTGGTAATAAATCATAAAAAAAATTGACTGTTCAGTAACTCTGAATCTTATTAGTACCCCTTTTTTTTTTAAATTCAGATTGCTTCTAGATTCTCCTTCCCCACTACTATAAATCATAATAAAATAATTTCCTGTGTTCTTATTTCTAGGGATAAATTCCTGAAAGTGAAATTGCTGAGTAAAATAATGAATAATTTTTATTTTCAACAGTTTTGCTATTTTACTCTTTAAAAGGGCAGAAATGATTTAGATTTTTGAAGTGAGTGGAACTGCTTGTTGTGAGGTCTTGTCAGTATACTTTGGACACTGATTTAATTACCGAGCCTAATACTCAGATTTTAGGCAACAATCTTTCTGTTATTTCTCATGGCCCTGCTCCCCTTTTTTTTTTTAATGCAAAATACTCAGATCCCATAGTTTATTTGGCATCACTGCCTCCTGAGTCTTAGTCTACATTTGGTCATTTTCTGTCTGGGTTTCTTTCTTTTGTGTGATGCTTAAATACTAGTATTCTTTCCCTTGATCCATTTCCTCCTCTCTTTCCATTCACTCTCCTTACTTTCCTTACTACTATTTTCTTTCCTCTCTTTCATGCACTGTATTGTATTCTACTAGCTATTGGATTTGCATGGCTAGTTTTCCAGGAGGCTCTCATTCATTTTCCTGGCTTCTGCTTTCTCTTATATACTCATGATTGTTCTCCAAAGCTTTGGAATGAGACATCTTGTGGGCAGCTCAGTTCTAATACCCCAAACTGAATACCTGGTTTCTTACTATGTTGCTTGAATTGTTTAATCATACTTCTATCAACCTAGTCACCTATGTCTCTTATATTCTTCTTGTAACAGTTTCTTGGATGATTAGGCAAGCAAAAATCTATGTCTACCAATTGAAAGCTTATTTGGACTTCTCATGTTTGATGTGGGGGAAACCAAACTTCAGTTTTCACCAGTCAACCTGTTCTATTTTCAGTTTTCCTTGTGACTCTGAGTAACATCCTTTAAATTTTGCAAGTATTATAGTTAACACTTCCTTCTTTAGCATTCTTTCATATCCAGTTAGTACTGAATTCTGTTTATTTTCTTTCCTGCCTCAGGAATGCTTTTTTTTTTTTTTCATTTGCACTATCACCAGTCTCATTCAAGTTATTGTCATCTATTACTTGAACTATTACAATAATCCCTCCTTGGTTTGATTTCATTCCACTGTCTTTAAATCCATTCTTCACATTGCAGCCAGACTGATCTCTTCTGCAATGGAATTCTGATGACGTGAAGTGCTCTCTTGAGCTTAAATCTTTGACCTTTATTTTAGGACAAAGACCTAAACCCTTAATAGATTAGATAAATCTAATTTGTTTGGGCTCATCTTGAACTCTTATTCCCTCTCCACTTTCCTATTCTCACCATTTTCCAAGTAAGTTGGCCTTTTAGTTTTTTGTTTTTTTCCCACCCTAGGGACTTTGCCCATGCTGGGTTTTCTTCATTACATACTCTCTTCCTTTCCTTAGAGCCTAGTTATTTTACTTATTTTCTTCTCTAGTTTCTCAGTGAGGATGCTTTTCTTGATGCACTCACTTCCTTCTATTATGTACTGTTGTGGTGTCCTGCACTTCTCTCTCATAGGACTCATCACACTTTTTACAACTCCTATTTTTACATTTAGTTCATGTATTGTTTGATTAATGTTTGTCTCCCCTGTTAGTGTGCCTCAAAGAGGTAGGAGGTAGGTCTGTTTCTGCTTGCCATTTGTATTCCTGGTGCCTGATGTGATCCCAGTTATATGATGAGGTAATAAGCACTGGGAAAAACAAAAAGCACCTGAACAGTTGTCTAAAATAAAATGACACTTGTCTATTACAGATTTCTATAAATCGAAGTTCTATTTAAAAGACAGTATCATGAAAGTCACTTGAACTTTTGAATTGCTTTTGGATATTATACTCAAGTTCATCAAACTTGAGATTCTTGTGTTTTTATGTGGATTTTCTGTTAGATGCAAATGGAATATTTTTTTAAAATTTGTTTAGTACAGGGAAGACCATTTGAAGTAAAAGAAATGTTTCTGGAAGATATTTTAAGAACTACTGGATATACAAACAAAGAAATGTTAAAGTACAAAAAAGAAAAACAACGAGGTAAGCTTTTTATCAAAGAAATTGCTATGGAAAATTACTTTTTAGAATACTCCAGCCTCCTGTCATGGAGGTACAAAGATACTTGAAGTGTTTTTCACTTCCATATAATTACATAAAATTATGTTATAATATTATCTAAAATGTGCCTTTGCGTTTGTGGTTTATGTCCTGAAGTTGTAATCTGTGGAGAATAATTGAAAGTGGAAGGAACTGGATGCCAGAGATGAGGTTGACTGTATCTGTATCCAAAGAGTCAAGCACTGTTCTAAGGAAGAAATGCAGAATGTGCTGCTGCCACAGCTTATCTCTTAGATGGCAGTGGGAAGTAGATGGAGAGTCCAGAGAGTAGGAACTCAGCGATACATAGGCTTATCTTTCATAAAAATGTCACATTTGCCAAATCTTGATATTACTATGAGATTGCATTTGCATTTTGAATTGAGGATTATTTGCCTATTAAAACATCTCTTCACGTACAATATCTCACCTTTTGGATTAGGATTTAGTTTCCTTTTTCATTTTCATAGTAGACTTGGCTTCAGGCTTTATTCTTCTGTTTACTACCATGTCACCTTAGACAAATATCTTAACTCCTTTGGATTCTCCACTAGAAAAATGTAATTAGCAATGCCTGTTTGACTAGGAAGTATAGAATCACTTGTATATAAATGGTGAAACTTAGAGCTCTCAAAATTTGAAATTTCTGCATTGTAATTGTATATGATTATATTTCAAACAAGTGCCATTGTGTAGAAGTTCAGTAAATGATTTTCTGCAAAGTGCCGTATGACTATTAGTTATTGATTTAAATTATATGTAAAATGTGGATAGAAACACTCTTCTTTTAATTCTGGACTTAGAAGTAAACTTACCAATAGATGAATAGACATTGGCTAACTTTTATGTCATATCAGATTGACTTTAGTTTTTTTAAACAAGGGAATTCATTTTAAAAAGAAAAGGACCTGTTTACTTTTCTTTGATAATTACTTTAGAAGAGAAACAACAAACCACACTTTACAGAGTGGTACTCAGCTCAGGAGAATACTTTCAAGCCTGAATCTCAGAGGCAGAGAACTGTTCCAAATGTGACTGAAGAGTATGATGTTTTGGATGATGGTGGTGATGCTGTCTTCAGTCAGTTGGTAAGACCTTGCTGGTTTTACAATGATATTTTGAGTGAAAGTGATATGATAGTTTTTCACTGTGTAACTGAAGGGCAATTTTCCTAGTTTATCTTAGACTATACTGTATTTCTCTCTCTCTCTCTCATTTTAATGGACTGGAGATTGAAAGAGCCTCACAAGCACTCTACTCCTGGTTCTGAACTTTATTTTTTAAAAAAGTATTTAACTTTTTTATTTTTTGAGCATGAGGAGATACATAATCCAGAGATGCTTCCATTTTCATACTAGTGTTTAAAGTTCTAAGACATCCAAATTAACTGTATCTGATTTAAAAAATAATATTTAGAAATTGTTTAGTATAGGGAAGATTCACTTCAATCAGTAATCAGTATTTTTACTGTGTAAATTGTGCTCCCTTCCTTGGGTGCACATTATATTATCTGAAGGGCTTTTAAAGCATTGTGGAATCCCTTCCAGCAGAGATTCTATATACTTGCTATGGAGTGGGACCTGGGTTAGTGCTAAAAAGCTCAAGGTGATGCTTCCTCTGACATGGGCTGGAAGAGGAAGCCACTGGTGTATAGTTACATTTAGCAACATCCTGTCAGAAGCAGTTCATTGATGTTGTGACTGGATCATTGCTCTTTGTTGACATGTTTATTCTCAGATAAAAGACAAATTAAGAACAAGATACAATATTGTTAATGTTTGTAAGATAAAATGAGAACATTCTAGTAGTTCTTGTGGCCATTTTATATTCTTGGTGAGTAAATGGGAAGCATATTCATAATCTGCTTTTTTTTAAAGACAGAAAAAGATGTGAATTGTCTTGAACCATGGTTAATAAAGGAAATGGATGCTTGTCTTTCCGACATATGGCTACACAAAGATGTGGATGCTTTTGCTCAAGTCTTCCACCTTATTTTAACTGAGAATGTTAGTGGTAAGTAATTTTTATTACTCTTGCTGTTTTTTATGGTAGGAGTACAGTTTAGCTTAAAAGTCTATACTACAGGTTTTTTTTGTACAAATAATTTGTTATTTTGGAGTACTTACTTTATTTCAAATTTGTTAACCTAGTGTCTCCAGAATAGTTTCATGAGGTCTGTACACACATGACTGTTACTAACAAAAAATGCTTTTATTTATTTGTGTTGTATACATAGATTGTGTGTTGTGTGGTGTGTGGTGCACTAGCACCCACCATTCCTTGGTAACGGTAAGAGTTTTGTGACTTCACAAAAAGAAGAAAAAATAGGTAACAGGACTGGGTATGGTAGTA